AGGAGGCGGCGGCGGCGGCGGTCCGGCCGACTTCGTGGCTCTCCTCCCTCCGGAGGTCCGCTCCCGGATTTTCAGCGGCCTGGACGTTGAGAGCTTGTGTCCCGCGGCCGTGACGTGCAAGGGCTGGCACCGCGTCATCGAGAGCAACGACCGCTTATGGAGGCACCACTGCTTGAGCGTGAGGGCTGTCTGCCAGCGGGAGATCGACTGCGATCGAGGAAATGGATATTCCTGGAAGGTAAATTTCACGTCAGTGACGTAATGTCGGCAGCGTCGAGGCTTCTGGGATTGGTAATAGAAATATGTAAAGAAATCACATCAGCACATCTCATCTGTCCCAGGCTAATGGGAGAACCGCTGTAATCACAGTGTGGCTCGGTAGTGCACCCCAACAGCCACACATCTGGTTAAATACACAGAGAGATGAAAACAAGGCTGTCCTGTTTCCTACCCAGGACCACATCTGGCCAGCCCAGCACACCCCGGTTAGTCCTCACACAGCCTCAGCACTGATGTTCATCATATCAAAGTCTGCACAGCCCAAACATGGAAGAAAGCCCACATCCCAGTAGACAGGGCCAGGGCGGAGAAGGCAACGTACCCCAGCTAGGCAGTGTGTGCGCTCTGGTTGTGTTTCGTGGGAACAGTTGTGCTGGTGAGGAACGGCTTCCTGGAAATTCATCCTGGTTAGCTCTGCCTCAATACGCCTTGAGCGACATGCATCCAGGAGAAAAAAAATTGGGGTAGAGAAGAGGAAACAAGCAGGAGCTCTGAGCAGCTGTTTTGAAACCCACACACACACACTCCCAGTTGCAGCTGCTCTGAGGTGTTAGGAGCTGAACACGCTGGAGGATCTATCACTGTCAAGTCCAGCCTGCAAGCTGAGGTAGATCAGGAAAGGAGTGGTTTCACTGTTACTAATGGACCAGCTAGAGGGTGATCTCCACCTCATTCTAGCTGGTGTGTTCGAGAGCAGGGGGGGCAGTGGAGGGGTGAAAAGAGAGAAGCAACAGCAAAAAACCCAAACAGTTCTGGACTCCCACATTTCGGTAGAGTTGTTTCAGTATGAGACAAAGCCATGAGCAGGCAGTGGTTGCCCTTCAAATGTATAGATCTTACTACTCTTGCACAGGAATTTCCAGAGCTCCCTGCACTGATTCTGTATTTTATCTGAAGGGGATTTGAAGTAGAAGCAACAAACACACCAAGTCAGCATTTTCTTGCACTAAAAGGTTGGCTGAAGAGAAGAATCCAGCCAGCCTGCATTAAAAAGCCCAAACGAGTTAAAGGTCACAAATATCTAAATAGGAAGAGAAAGTGAAAGGCACCTCTTTTAAGGAGGAGGATGAATTCCTGGTTTAGCGTTTTCATCTTGACCCTCAAAAGAATTGAGCGCACCTTCCTGGGCTTAGCGGCTAGATATCCAAAGACACATTCCAAATCCTTTTTCTAGCATTACTCTTCCAATGCAAAACTTATTTGTATTGAATGCAACTGAAATCAGTTCATTTCCAAGATTTGAGCTGTCTGTTTTTCCATCAGATCACATTACTGAGAAACTACTGGAAAAGCAAAGTGAAGCAAGAATGGCTGAGTGGGAAATACAGCAACATTCCTTCACAAAACAGCTTGCCAGAGAAAAGCATGTATCCGATGGACGTCGACACATGGGGAGAAATCCTGGAAGCAGAACTTGAGAGATGAGAAACCAGTGCTGGTTCTTGCAACTCAAGAACCTTCTATCAACTCACAGACTGCCAAACTGTAAATATTTTGCCATTCAAAGTCAGTTGTGTTTGCAAACATGATGAAAGCTTCTCCAAAAAAAAAAAGTTGTCTTTTTTTATTTGCACTTTATCTGATTTTCTGTAAAATTCTAAAGAATATTCAGTTGTAATTTTATATTTGTAAATTTAATGTTCTGCTGTATTGTCAAAAAGATGTTGATTGTACTTTTAATTTGCACTTTTTATTTTGGAAGAGATGACTTTAAGAAAAAAAAAAGTGTGTTTGACTTGAAGCGTATCATAGCAGCAGCACAACATGAAAGCCCACAAAGGAAGGCTGGGGAAGGGACAAATCCAGACACTGGAAAGAAAAGAAGAGGACAAAGCAGCCACCTCAGCATCAGCTGAACATCCCCAGTGCCCATCTCAAGGGACAGAGTCCTCACAAGGATCTTCTCTGAACCTGCACCCACGGAGGCGTTAGTGCTCGGCAGCGCTGCGTTTCCACTGCCCGGCTGCGGGATTTCTGGATTAGGACTCACAGATGCAGGCAATGGGCAGGACTGAAGCAGCCACGTAACTAACAGCCTCTGCCATTAGCTGTGCATTTTAGTCATTTGCACGATAAGGAGTAGAGCAAAGTGTACTACTTTAAACAGAATAACTCAGATAACCATACCAGATAACACAACTGCATATACTTTTGTAGTCAGGCTAAAACACATTCAGAAACTAATTTTTTTCCTATATGATGATCTCCCATCACACAGACCCTGCTTTACCAGCACCCATTTTTTGCACTGACTTTAACTGCTGCTAGTAAAAGAGGAGATGCCTGTCACTCAACATAAAAGTGACCACAAAATCAATTTATTACAATTCAGTT